TGAGTAAAAAATCAATGTCTACGTGACCTAACTTTCTAACCAACTCATAACTCATTGAAAAGATAGATGAAATCAAAATACTTGCAGGCAGACTTTGTGCTTGTCATTAAACAACACCATAGTAAAATCCAGATTTTGTAAGAGCTAGAGACATAAACAAATCATCAAATAAAAAATGCAAATTCCATTAAAAAAATATTTAAAACATGTAAAACTAGATGCTATCATGTTTCCTCCATTTAACCAATAACTCATTATTCTTAAAAAAAAAATGCTAAAATCTCACTAATATTCATCATCATTGGTTAATTTTTTTCTTTCTTAGTTTCTCTTTGTTCGATGCTATCAAATTCTTCTATTTAACCAAAAACTCATCTGCTATATAAAAGCACAAGGACTCTCTCCAGCTCTAGACACATCAGCATGAAGGAGATGCCACGTGTACAATTAAATATTTTAATGATCGAACCTTTCATCTTCCTATTAGCCTTCATTCAATAGCTTCCAAGAGATCTAAAATCAGTGCAATTGAAATCTTTACCTTTCTGTAGCTAAAAAATATTCTCTCGATTGGAAAGGAAGAACAAAGGAGTTGCAGCAAATCCCATCTTAAAGCTTTCTTCTCGTTTCTGCTGGGAAATCGGCTTAATCACAATCTCTTTCCAACATGTGGGAATTTGCCTTAGATGTCATTGTTGCACTGTAAGTTTGCTTCTCTCTCGTTTTAGAATTTCTAGGAAGAGATCTTCCAATTTTCAATTCTGTTTGTTTATCCGACAAAATTATAACTTCTGAAAACTCTAATTTACGTATGATCATCAGAGACAACCTAGAAATGATGTTCGATGGTTTGTAAACTTCGATTTTCCTTCAAGTATCCGAGATTAATTATTGTTGTTATGATGTATAAACATATGATGTCCGATGCATACGTTCGCCCAAAAGCTTAGATATTACTGGTTGAAAAAGGATGTGTACTCTCATCAACTTTTGAGTGTGACTTAATTCACAAATTTGCAATCTCTTTGCGGATTTTTTCTCCACTTCTACTATTTTCGGTTGCAATTTTGATCGGCACTTCTGTGGATTCTCATTCTTTGCATATCCATTGAATACCATTTTCCTTCACTTTCTAAACTTTCTTCTTCTCTGGCATTTTTTCCCTATGCTTAGTCGATGATAGTTAGTG